ATCGCATATTAGTAATTAAAGCCGACATTTTGGATCCATATATAGAAATTTACATAGCTTTCAATATGTCTTTCTATAAACAGTGATTTAACAGAGAAACCAACCATTCCATTACATTATAATTAAATCTTGATTATTTTGCAAGAAGGTAGCACTTACCAAGAGAAGGTGTTTAATATCGTTTATGTCGAGCTCTGATCCACCCCCTAAGGTGAGATCGAGAATCGTATCCACGAAATCTCTGCCCGAGACATCTTTAATGTTATTCCGCAATGATTTTTCCGCAGTTTTAGCATCGATAAACTCTAGGAAAACCTTAAACAACCCCTCTGCAAAAGCTTTCATCTTCTTCCTATTACCTTGCAGATCAAGAAACTCTAGAAACGGGAAGAAGTTAGCAAGGTCTGGGTCCCCAGCAGCTTCCATGCCTGAAATCATCAAGTCTTTAAACACACTGGACTTAACCGAATCATAGCTAACGATATCGACCGAAAACAGAATGTTCGATATGATATTAAGAACTGTGATGAAAGATGCACGAGAAATATCAACAGCTTCTTCTCTCTCGCTGCTTTCATTCATGAAGCTCACAAGCTCTTGCACCTTCTGCATTCGCAGAGCTCTAGTGGCTTCTATACGCTGTGCCGAGAACAGGTGAGTCACCGACAATTTTCTCAACAGTCTGAAACAAAACAGAACAGCGATTAAAAAAATAAAAATATTGAAAAATATGAGAAAGAAAAAAAATGAGTCTCTCAAAGACTCTCTACAAAATTTGAGAGACTTATTTAACACATGTCTTCATATGGTTGGTTCAAAATTTTATTATATTTTAAATTTTAAATAAATAATTAAACTATACTACAATGTATTATCATAATATATATGAGAGACTTCTTGAGTTTCTAATAATTAAATTTAAAGATGAATAATTTATTATTTATGTTTTAAAAAACAACTATTTTTTTGTAAATATGGAATATTATTTGTCTTGAAATTATTATTATGTCTACATTATAAATTACTAGATTAAGGACTCGCATATATGCGGGTTCTATAATTTGATCTCTTATAAATCTATGAAAAATAAAATCGAATTGTACAAAACAAAATTAGATTATCCGTTAATAAAATAAAAGTGAGAACGTTGTTCTAAAACCACTAATTGAGAAGTTTAACATTTATTTATTAATTTTGAGGCTTTTGTTATTTGATTTAGAATAAATTAATCACATATTTTTAAATGATTAGTTTTT